ACTTTTATTTTAATTGGAAACTTATTTTCTCAACCAAATTGGATTGTCCAAATTAAAAGGAATAGTTATAATAATACTTGGTGCTTTAATCCTCGTGGGACAATACTTTACTTACACTTTTATTACTTGAAATGATGCTGAAATCGCAACAAAGACCTAAGGATAAACCAAACGCATAAAAAAATAAGCCAAAGTTCTTGGATGAGGGTGCTTTAGCGCGCTAAAACGCACAAAATGTGTAAAATGGAGAAAAAGCTTTGGGAAAAGTTAGCTAAAACGAGCTCTAATCATGCAAAATCTCTTTGTGCGAGTGCGCTAAATGCCATATTTTTAGTGCGCTAAAGGGTGCTTTAACACCCATGTGCGACCAAGTTAAAGATCATTACATGATTTTTACCTAAAAGAAGGATTCCTCCACCTATCTAAGCTATCTTTCAAAGATATTATAGTTCTTCGACAGTTCTTGACATATTTTGATATTAGAGGCTTGACATTTTTAGATAGTTTTTCACACCAGAAACATACTAGTTTACATCATAGAAGTGCGTCCTTCTTTCATTTGAGAGCCGGAGACAAGCTAGAAGCAAGATTACGCTGGAAACCTTGAAGATTCACTGCGTCATCACACCAATTGAGTTTGGGAAAGCTTTTATGTTTTCTTGCATTACTATTTCTACTATGTTAGGCTAGTTTTCTTTGTAGTTAGGGGTAGATGGAACCTAATCATATCTTTATATGTTTGAATAATCTTTAATGTCATATTTCCTTTTTGTAGCGAATGAATTTATCTTTTCTTCATGCTTTCTATGAGTTCTTTGTTTTGTAGATTGATCTAGGGTTTGTGTATGATAATAGGGATATTGGTGCACGAACCAGACTTGGTAAATTCATTATAAATTCATATGACTCTAGGAATAGATATAAGGATTATGCAATCTTTGTTGTTCTTGAGTTTAATGCTTATTTTCTTTGAAGAATGTAACAACCCATCTAGAATCAATTTGTTGACATGCATTATGGTATTAAGCGTGACACAATTAATTAAAATTTTGGAAGCTACATCATTTAACAAGTATGACTATTACACATAAGTGAATATGTGAACCAACTTTTTCTTTTCCATACATATTGCAATATATCATAGGTTACTCGCTCATTACTTTCTTGCTTTATTCTCTACGTTAGTTTTCATTCAACTCTCTTGATCGATTGTCCAACTTAAGTGTAAATAGCAAATTAGTGGTTGAAATCTAATCCATTTGGGAATATTACTCTTACTCATACATTTTATTACTTTGTACAACAAGTGCATTTTATCTCTTGTACGACTGGGGCACTTGTCGAGTCAGCAACAGTAAAAATAATATGTTGTTTAAGTCACTAAAAACTTTAGAGGGATACATAACAGCCAAATAATTAAAACTATACTAATAGGAATACAATTTAAGGAGAAAGATACACACATTGATAAAGTTGTTGCAGGAATCAAATTAGAATTTGATAAGTCATGTGACTCTGAATTGATATGAAGAGTTTGTTAGAGAAATTACAAGATGGCTTAAGAAAGCTATGCATTTTGCATCACTGAAGAACTACAGTCCCACAACACCTAAACTTCAAAAATTTCCATTGCGCATGTTGTTAACGTAATAATGACTCGCACTACAGTTCTAATCGGCATTAGAAAGTGTATGTTAATTATACTTTTAGAATGGCTTAGATTGTTGACACCTGAAAAAGAAAATGCAGGCAAAAATTATGTTATATTAGGATGCTTGTTAAGTGTTAAACATATAATGTTTTTACGGCCAAATTGTGCTTAATATTGTTAAATATAGTCAAAGACATTGTGTATATCATTAAATGCAAAAGACTTTAGAGCTTTTCATGTTTGATATGATACTGACATAAAAATATATTGGTTTCAGGTTTAAATTGCTACTATAGAGCATTGACGGATTAAGGAACCCAAAGAAGTCAAGATTCGAGCAACCTCATCCTCGTTGGTTTGCTCGCTTGAGAGAGTAAGTCTAGCGAACTTGTCCAAGATTGTGTTGTTCTATCTTGTATCTCGTTAGCGAAGCGAGCAAGTTAGCAAGCAGATCCTATTTCCTCTCAGAGTTGCTCGCTTCAGCAATCTTAACCTAGCAAGCAATGTCGAAAAAAGGCCCATGGACCTTTATGTAAAGAAAGAACATAAAGAAGGAAAATTAGTTCGTGACGACTTCAACCAGAGTGGAGGAAGAGCTCTCTTCTTGGACTGGGAAGTCGAGGAGAGGGTTAAAGCTTCACTGTGGAGACCGGTTATCACGTTTTTTTTTATGATTTTCTTTAGTTTTTCATATTTTGTTTTTGTTTTCCTGACTATGTCAGGTTATGTTTCTTTGTAGTTAGGGTTAGATGGAACCTTTTGAATCTTGATATTATCTACTCTTTTCCTTTAATTTAATATTCAATCTTTCATGTTATGCAATTATTCTGTGCTCCATTTTTTAATTTTTTGTGAATAGATCACTTATAGAAGGATACTTGAATTATGCATGACAATAGGGATATGGGAGTATGATTCTGATCTGAATAATTTCTTGCTTTGTTTGATCTAGGGGTAGACTAATGAAACATATGACCTTTTTGTTCGTGGTTCTTAATGCTTGCCCTAGGCAGGATCACTAAGGGATTAAGATTCTTTTTTTTTTGGTAAGTAGGGATTAAGATTTTTAATAGTTCAAAGAAATGAAATACCAAGGATTTTAAGTTTTAATTAATCTGTGATGAATTGTCAATAACATGAGTTTGAATATTGATTAAGGGAAATGGTGGATTTATTAGGAAGAAATTGGGGAAATCAACACCCCAACTACGTTTGCATTGTTAGTGTCATTCTGAGTTTTTGATTATGTTCTTGATTGTTATTTGGTAGTTCTAATTATGTTTTTATAATTCAATTGTATTCAAGAAAAATCCTACGGTCGATCCAACTTTAATTGCGTAGCGAAATTAGTGCTTGATAAGTCAATCCTCATAGGAACAATTTGTTACTCATTGCACTTTATTACTTGTACGACCAGTATACTTGTCGTGATCACAATAATGCTATATTGGCATTAGATTGATAAATAATTTACTAAAAGAATTAAAATGGTGAAATATTTTTATATTTGCTTTACATGGATCAAAAAGCCCAATACAAAAGGTTCCCTATGTCCTTCTAACAGCTTTTACTTTTGATACATTTGGACTTACTTTGTTTGGCTTAAAAAGAAGAATACAGATGTTAATCCATTTCATATTGCCCTAATTGATGTTTAAAATAGAACACCATTTCAGGTGATCCTTAACCCCTAATCTGAGATGGATCAACACTAAGCAACAGCACAAAGCTTCCCTATCCATTTTGAAAACACAGCAATTCTATCAATATACAAAATCCCTTAATATTTCGATGCGGTTCTTAAAATTAATCTTCATTGTGGGTTTAAACGAATATGTTAATTTTGTTACCTTGAAAAAAAAAAAAAAAAAAAAAAAAGTTGCCGTATCTTAGAAATCCAATTAGAATAGAACTCAAAGAAAGACAAAAAGTACTTTCGTAGTTGGTGTATCAGGTGGTCCCCAGCTAGTCTTCAAACAAATCTCAGGATATATGATGCATGAATGTATTTGACCATGTCAAGCATAATTATGCATGCCTTATAAATCGAGATCTCCAATCTTGATAAAAAATAAATAAATAAATATTTTACTTTTTAAAGATATAATCTAATAGTCTATGAAGAGTTGTTGGGTTTATAAGTCAAAGCTTATCGTTAAGCTTGAAATTAATGAAAGGAGAGCATGGTCTATAGGATTAACAATGGGATAACCATTTTTCCATTAGTTTTCTCTTTTTAGGTATGAGCTTTGAATATGACATCACGTTTCTTCTTATATTACTTAAAATTTTATATTTTTTTAAACTACGAGAGTTAATCTTAAATGTACTTTTAATTTTACAAATATAACAGTTTTTTCTTTTTAGTTCTATAAACTAAAATTTTTAACTTTGTATCCCTGCTTGTTTTACTGCCGTTAAGATGAAAGTATTATCTGCTAATGTGTTAAATATGAAAAAATATGTTGTTAATATCTTAAAAATAATAATAAAGGAAGGAAAAATTTGAAGCGGATGACACATGTTATAGAGGTAACTAAGCTCTTCAATTTTTATTGATCTACCACGTCAAGCTTCTAGTACAAGTGGCAAACTTGATTTAATAATCAATTTGCCACATTAACATTTATCACATCCACCCAAAGATCAATCACATATATGGCGCAAAATTCTTAGTTTATAAGAATTAAAATTAAAAAAATATATAGCGTTTATGTGAACTAAAAACTAATTTAAGTCTAATATTTATTTCATATTTACGCAGACAGTCTATGTTTCGTTCATACAACATCAATGTCTCTCTCTCTCTCTCTCTCTCTCTCTCTCTCTCTCTCTCTCTCTCTCTCTCTCTCTCTCTCTCTCTCTCTCTCTCTCTCTATATATATATATATATATATATATACATATATATACTAAACGGTAAAATCTCGGAAATTTGAGCATGTAGTATTTTATTGTGTGTGACAACAATCAGTGAAACTAAATCATGAATCAGAGATTCGGCTTCTTGTTAATGCATTAATTTTAATAGGATCAAAGTCAACATGAATCCGAAATATCAGGATCTTGATTCTTATTTCTTAAACCCCCATCAAACAAGACAAACCATAAAAGAAAAAAAAATTGATCAGTTAATATTTGCTAAGTTCACATGGAGCAATCACCTAATCTGCTAAAATTATATAACTAGCGGGTCATTATGACCTTAACTTTAGGTTACCAAACACCAAACCCGTTCAGGAAAGTATAATAGTAATGTGATCAATCAAATTCAATACAAAATAATCTCATATTTGACTAACATTGTACAAAAAATATTTCAAAATATAACATCATCACTTTCGGTAAAATTTCTATTGTGTATCAATCTGTATAATGAGAAATTTAACAATAATGGTAAAAAACCATATAGGGGTACCTCATCAATCAATAATCACATTACTGCGTCTCTAAATCTTGATCAACATCATCACCATGGCTAAAAGGTTGGATTCTTCTTGATGATCTTTCCCTACTAAGAATCCTTCTGAATGAACTCAACCGTGAATTTGAACCATTGATTTTGGGTGACCCAGAAACAATGTTATTAGTACCATCTGAAGTTCCTTCTATCGGTTCAAACATGAGAGGCAAATTAGTAGGACCCTCACGTGGCTGCGGTTCAAGCCTTGGTTCAGCCTTGGTTCGACAAATGGGACACGTGGAGTGTGAAGCTAGCCATGTATCTATGCAACCAACATGGAAAGTGTGTTTACAATTTGGAAGCAACCTCACCATTTCTTCATCCTCTAGAGCACTTAAGCACACGGCACATTCTATAACAGAGGCATCATTATGATGATGATGGGGTTCTTCTTCTTGTTGAGGTTTCTTTCGTTTGAAGATGAACATGGGAAGAGAAGTGATGAGGGCAGGGTCAAGCCCTGTGTTGGGTGGTTCAATTGATTGGTTATGAGCATGAGCCACGGTGAGGCTTAGTTGGTAAATGGCTCTGCTGCGAGCTTGGCGTCTAAAGATACACCTAGCATAGAGGTGAAGTGCAAAGACCAAAACTAACACTACTGATAAGGAAACTATAGCCATGATCAAGATCCTTCTGTTAAAATCTCTCTGGTCTGAACCAAATGAGTCATTGTTGTGATCATCATCAAAGTAACCCATGGCTTTCTTTCCCTTTTTGTGTGTGTGTGTGTGTGTGTGTTAGAGAAGAAAGGGTGTTTTGTTATGGAAGAAATGAGGGGGTTTAGTTATATGTTGTTTGGGGTCTTGAGTGTTTGAAACAGAAAAAGAAGAAAAATATTTTGTTTTGGTTTTCCTTGGTTATATGGGTTTATGACTTTGGATGGTTGGTGGTATTGGCTCTGTATAGCCAAAGTCTATGGGTTTTTTTCTTTTAGTATTTTTCTCCTGTTGTGGTTGCAAAAGTCTGTGGTGTTAACTAACAAGAAACTCCCATTTTTTTTTCCTTTTCAAGAGTTTTGACTGTTGAACATTGACCTTTACTGATCTCTCTATCTAGTGAAACAATGGGAATGAGAGAGGCAGAGGATTGTTATTTGTTTGACAGCTACAAACATTGCTTGGAATAACTTAATGGGAATTTGAAGAGTCTATTGGAAGGATACCAAATTTCCTGCGCAACAGGAGACTTATAAATAGGGGTGTACCCGGTTTGAATTGGATCGGTTTTGGAAGTAAAAATAATCTGATCCAATCCTTTCGCTTTGATCATGTAATCATCCATTCGGTTTGAATTTTTTTTCAAATCCGATCCGATCCAATCCAATTTTTTTCGGTTTGGATTGGATCGGTTTTCGGTTTTTTGAAAATCCTAAATTAGTTTCATGATTATTGTGCAAATAATATCTTTTGTATATATTGGCTTTGTAAATTTTATTTTTTTTGAAATACAAAAACATCAGTAAACAATAATATAGTATTTTTTTGGGATAATGAGATATGAAGCTCTACACAGATAAAATTTTGTAATGAGATATGAAGCTCTACCATCCGAAAACCGATCCAATCCAATTAAAATTTGCGATTTTTTTTCGGTTTTCGATTTTTCGATTTTCGGTTTATTCGGTTACCGGTTTTTCGGTTCGGTCACCGCGGTTTGAATCGGTTTGGATCGGTTGATGAACACCCCTACTTATAAATCCCTAAATTAATAATATAAGAAGCAAAAACAATTTTGATGGTTTTATTTTTTAATACATAGAGATGCTCCATGAATCAAAATTTGTATCAAGATTATAGCCTAATTCTTAAATGATATACATTTTAATGGGAATTTATAATTAAAATATTAAATTACAAATTATTTAATAATTATCAAATAAACTTAAGTTTAAATCTTACATACTTGTCATAAATAAAAAATAAATAAAATTTTGACTACGTGAGAGAAATTGACCTAAAAGGTTAATGGAATGTACGAGAACCAGTTCAGCAGAAGAGATTGGGTGCGTAGTTGTTGACTTGTAATCCATGGTGCGTAGTTGTTGACTTGTAATCCATGTGAAACTGATTATGCCACATAGTGCATCTTCTGATTATTTACATTGCAATCTATTTTAATATATTTATTACTTTTTATGACATTAATTTTTAATAAAAGAAAATCTGGTTTTGCTTTTACCCTACCAAATTCCTTATATTTAATAAGGGGAAAATATTTATATTTTTACTACACAATTTTTTTTACTGCCACACTCACATTATGCAGGGAAAAAAAATGTTAAACCTATTTAATAAGGATTTTATAAGAGTTATGATGTAAGAAAAATGATTGTGTAATATTATAGAGATTCGTTTTGCGTGCCTTAATTTTTTATTTTATTTTTTTTGCTTTAAAAATAGAGGGCCTCACAAAATATTGTATATGTAGAAAAAAAATTATGTCATGTGACATGATAGATGCAAATCTCATTTAATAATGGAAAAACTGAGAAGACTTTTGGTCTCCGACTTGTGCAAACTGAATCTGCCGCAGATTTAGAAAAAGTTGCATATGCATAAAATAAAAATTGAAAATCAGATATTCATTTCAACATGACATACCAATAGAAGCGTGAAAACAATCTAGCATGCATATCTTTTGTTTTGAAATATGAACTTTAAACATAGTTCACACAAAGAAATTAAACATCGAGTCCAACTTCGATATTTTGTTTTGAGAATATTCATTTTTAAAATTGTATTTATTACGTGTAAATAAGTAAATTTTTTCTAATAAATAAAAAATTATCAAGTTCTTTTTTTATATTTTAACGTAAGAAGTTTACAGTAATTTTGAAAACGTTATATTAATTTAAGATTTTTGAAAGTGTTTTATTCTTTAGATAACTTCTTTTGCACTCACATAGGTGCTTTTTTTTCTTCCTCGAAATCTCACTTTTGCTCTTGGCTTTTCTTCGTGGAAATATAGGTCACCCTTTGTCCTTGCCTACCACCCGAAACAAAATATTCTCCGATTGAAATTATTTTATTAACTAATTTAGTTTCTTAGATTTTAACATTATTCAAGTATATATTATTAATTAATTGAAAGTCAAATTGAGGGCACATAGCTACCTTTGCACTAACTCTTCTTGGCATTCCATTTGTAACCCAGAGAAATTCAGAACGCCAATACCCTACGAGTCACTTGAAGAAAAGTCTATGAAAATGATGGAGGAAATCAAGCTCGGTTTTTCATTGCACGTTATTGCAATTTATCAAGCCATTATCTTTAATTTTTTATTTTGGATAAACTACGAGTATCCTCCACTAGAGGCAATTTTATTAAAACTGGGAACATTCACATTATGATGGAGCTAGCTTTTCAAAGGGGATCTTTTGCATTCACAAAATTCTGAACCCAGAATCTTGCTTAAGCGGAATCAAGCATGTACCACTGAACCATGATATTATCTTTAGGATCAAGGTTACTATCAATTCAATTTCTTTAAGTTCCTTAATATTATTCAAACGAATAACTAGGGGTGTGCAAAAAAACTGGTTCACTTGCTCTGACCTTGATCTGACCTTGACCTGACCCATAAATACCTATTTTTTTTGAACTGGTTTAAATACTTACCCACTTTTATTTGAGTCAGTTTTAGACCTGACTTGTTTTAATAACGACCCAAAACTTGACCCAAACCCTTTATGTGAAAAAAAAGAAAAAGAAAATCATAATTACATTAAAAGAAAAGTTTTAACGTAAAATAATTACGTCAAAATTTTTGACGAAAAATATTTTCATCAAAATTTGTGACTAAACATTTATGTAAAAAAATTTGACGGAAATTTTTTTCGGTCAAAGTTCTTTACGGAATTTAAATTTCGTCAAAATATTTCACAAAAAAATATATTCACCAAAAATTTCGACAAAACACATTTCCATAGAAATTTTTTGACGGAAAAGAAAGTTCATCAAAATTCTTTAGAGAATTCAAATTTCGGCGAAAGTTTTTGACGGAAACATTTTCGTTAAACTTTTTGACAAAAAAAAATTTTCGTCAAATTTTTTAGCAAAACACATTTCCATCGAAAATTTTCGACTAAATATTTTCGTCATGTTTTTTTGATAAAACATATTTCCATCAAAATTTTCAACGGAACACATTTTTGTCAAAATTTTCGTAAAAAATTTTGACGAAAAAATTTTCTGTCAAAAATTCTTTAGAGAATCTAAATTTCGTCGAAAGTTTCGAATGAAACATTTCTCTCAAAACAATTTCCATTGAAATTTTTGTCAGAACACATTCCTATCGAAATTTTGAACGAAAAACATTCCGTCAAAGTTTTTGACTGAAACTAAATTTTGATAGAAATTTATTTTTGTAAAAAATTTTATTAGAGAAAAAATTCCGTCACTTTTTGACAAAAAATATTCCGACGAAAAAATAATTTTGTGACGAAATTTTTTTCGTTTGCAATGTAAAAATTTTGACGAATTTTTTTGATGAAACCAAGTCAAAAACGGGTTAGGTCAGATTTGACCTCCTTCAAAAACCAAGTCAGACTCACTTCAGAAACCAAGTCGGGTCAAAATACCTAATCTACAAAAATCAAGTTGGGTCGAGTCGACACAAAAATCTGACCCGACCTACGAATAACACATTTACACACAGATTGCAATCGATGCATACGGAAAGAAAGTGGGAACTCGTTAAGTCGTTATCGATCCACTGACTTCCATGCTTCACGTTGATAATTAAATTAAATGATGGAGTTCCACGTTACTTCAAGTTGATAAATTTAAATGACTTTTGTTCAGAACGTAGAGTTAACAAATTCCTAGTCCAAACAATAAATATTTTCCTAATTTTGCAAGTTTTCTACAATCCAAAGAAACGACATCATATATGGTTTTACCCCTTGGAATGCCCATGAAATTTCATTTCGTTAACGTTGGAAAATTTCATTCTATTAAGAAAAATGAATTCCGCAAATATTATCATTTTGATAGAAAATCTATTTTCATTTTTTTTGTACCATAATTTTTCTTCTTTTCTAGGTTGGGTTAAACTGCAAGTTAGGGTAGAATTGAATTGAAAACATTTTAAATATAGTGAATAGCAACTAAATGATGATAGCTTAGTTGACATCAAGGAATTGAACATGTGTTCGATCTTCTCCTCCAATTCTATCTTTGGAAGGGTTTAAAGTTTTAATCCCAATACCAACCTTAAATCGAACTAGTTGCGAAGTTAATTAACCAATTGAAATATATATATATATATATATATATATATATATATATATATATATATATATATATATATATATTAGGATCATTTTACATCGGTGTAAGTTACACTCTCAGTCTTGTCCGTTGATATATATATATATATATATATATATATATATATATATATATATATATATATATATATATATATATATATATATATATAGTGAATAACATTCGAAAAAATAACAAGTTGTATAATCCCTGTGTATCACTTACTTTTTATCTTTTCCTTTTATCTTTTCCCGTTTTTTGAAATTGCAAGCGAGCAAAGTAAAGCAACGCCACTTCATGTACATTTCTATTAGGTGGATCACTTTATGAACCTTTTTGTAGAGACGTCAACATCAAGACTGAAGCATACCCATTTCAGCAATGTGGTTACAAATTACAATTGCTGATGCTCCAAAACAACGACATATAACTACACCAGAAGACGGTATTTTTGTAAATGGAAAGTTCCCGGAT